CTTAACCTAACCCTCAGTCTACCTCTAAATCAATGAAATCAAACTTTTATGATGGGTTCACCGAAGAGGATTGAGGTTTGACTGTTTGAGGCTTTAGTCACTAGTCATATTCGATTTGGATAAGAATTTAGTTACATATTCCCGATGCGATTTTAGGTCTGATCCGATTATCGAAACTTAAAAATTAGGTAGGTACTTGGAGTTGGCATCAATGCTGTTTCTTTAGAAAAATGGCACTACGATGGCGTTTGATAACACTTTTAAGACATTTGAAGTCTAAAAATGTTGCCTTTCAGATGCCACCTATGTTTGGGTTGGGTCTGAAAATTTAGATCTGAAATGCATTTTTAGATCTGAATTTGTAAGAGGCAGGCCAATGACTTAATGCGCTCAGACGTTTTTCAGATCACATTAAAAGACAAAAATGCCCATCCTCGATTTCCCTCACACTCTCCCTCTCTCTCCCCTTGTCTTCTAGCCATCGCCACTGCAACTCTCAGCAGCGGCGTTTCCCTCTCCCTCTCCTCCCTCCCTCTCTCTCTCTCCCCCCTTGTATTCTCGCCACTGCCACTGCAAAGAGTTGTAGTGGCATTCAATTTCCCACAACCTCTCCCTCCCTCCCTCCCCCCTCTCTCTCTCCTTGTCTTCCTGCCACTGCCATTGTAACTCTCAGCAGTAGCGTTTCCTTCTCCTTCTCTCCCTCTCCTATATTCTCGCCATTGCCGTTGCAAGGAGTTGCAACGACGTTAGGTTTCCCACACCCTCTCCCTCTCTCTCTCTCTCTCTCTCTCTCTCTCTCTCTCCCCCCCCCTTGACTTCTTGCCACCGTTGCTACAACTCTCAGCAGTGGCGTTCGATTTCCCTCACCCTCACTCTCTCTCTCTCTCTCCCCCTTGTCTTCTTGCCACCGTTGCTGCAATTCTTAGCAACAACGTTTCCCTCTCACTCTCCTTCTCCCTCCCTCCCTCTTTCTCTCTCTCTCTCTCTCTCCCCTCCCTCTCTTTCTCTCTATCTTCTTGCCACCGCCGTTGCAAAGAGTTGCAGCAGCATTCGATTTCCCTCACCCTCTCTCTCTCTCTCTCTCCTGTCTTCCCATCACCATCATTGCAACTCTCAGCAACGACGTTCGGTTCCCTCTTCCTCTCTCTCTCTCTCCCCCTGTTTTCCCACCACTGCCACTACAACTCTTAGTAGCGACGTTCAATTTTTATTCTTAATAATTTATTTTTAATTTGTAAATTTATACATATTTCCAATTTAATTCTTATTTTGATAAATTATTTTTTATAATTTTTATTTGTATTAATTATTAATTATTTGAATTTTTAAATTATTAAATAGTTTAATGGGTTCAATTTAATAATTTGATAATTATTAAATATTTTTTCATTGCTTCATGGACTTTATTACTATTTTCGTTCTTATTTTAACTTTTAATAATTTATTTTTATTTTATAAATTTATATATATTTTCAATTTTATTCTTATTTTAATATTTTTTTAATTTTTTTATAATTTATCATAATTTGTTCATATTTTTCAATATCATTTTGAATTTAATAAATTGTATTTTATGAAATAGTACAAATTAAACTCAAAATTACCAAATAGTATGTTCTAGGGGTAAAATAGTAAAATTAAGGAATTTTAGATATTGAAGATTTGATTCAACACAAACAACCTTCTCTGTTCAGAGCCTCTAAAAAGTCAAAAAGCATCTATGCCTCTTTTTAGATTTTAGATGCCATTAATATCTTTTTAACTTTTCAAAGTTTAGATTTCAGATTTCTCAAATGCCATCAACATCAGTGTTACATTTAAAATATATTTTTTGCAATGTTTAAAATTTTGATATGATACGCTCGATACGGGACATATCTTATCGTATCTTTGAAAAATAGATACAAGGTACGCATGGAAATCGGACGTTTCATATTTTTTCATGCGTATCGGACCCATATCGGGGCGTATCGGTAGCGTATCAACAAAAAAGATATGGCCAAAAACTAAAAAAAATTAAAGGGGGAAAGTAAGCTTCTTTTTCCCAAAATAAGCCTTCTTTCACCTCCAAATGACTCTAAAACTCCAAACTTCATTCCTAAAGTGCTAGACTTGCAAAAGTTTGCAAGAAACAAGTGTGAATCGCTACTTTTTTTAAAGATTTTTCAAATTTTGAAAAAATATGAAAAAAATAGGTAAATTTTTTCAAATTTTTATAATATCTTGTGATTTCTTTTTTTTTTCTTGGATGTTTAAATTTATGTTGATCTACATTTCTTACATTCAAAATCTATTTTTTTTTGTGTTATTAGTAGATTTATAGAAATTTTACGAAGATATTTGAGAAAATATAAATTAACAAAAAATTTGAAAATATAATTTTTTATCCGCTTGTAAAGACTAAATATGTTTTAGATCTATGGATTTATCTATCATATCCATAGAGCAATTGAAATTTCTTCTTGAATATTTTTTTTGATTTTTTATGTTTTTAGAATTAAAAAATAAATAATAATTAATTATATTTTATCATTTGATCACAACAATTGAATATATTATAATTCTATGGATGATCTATCATACCCATAGATAAATTGAAATTTATTCTTTAATAATTATTATTATTATTTTTATATTTTTAGAATTAAAAATAAATAAATAAATAATTATATTTTATTATTGGATCACAATGATTGAATATATTATAATTCTATGGATGATCTATCATATCCACAAAGCAATTGAAATTTCTTCTTTAATAACTATTTTTGAATATATTATATAATGTTTTATTTGTTTTTTATAATTTTTGGAATAATAAATAATAATTATTTATTCTTTAGGGTAAAATACAAAAACCTCCCCTGAGTTTTTTGACAATCATAAAAACCTCCCCTATGTTTTCACTTTAACAAAAACCTCCCCTGTACTTTTTAGAAAACATGCAACTACCTCCCTTTCTTAGTTGAAAAGCCGATTTAATGTGCTTGTTTTTTTAAATGCCTATTTTGCCCTTATGCCTAATGTAGATTTATTAAAATATCCTTCAAAACACTATTTATTTTTTCTCGAGAACTCAGGACTAGAGTCGCCGGTCATCTCTCATGTAAAAGACAAAAATGTCCTTACTTGTTGATTAAATTTTCAAAACATGCCCCTCCTCGTCACCCATGATCTCCATCATACATTATGTATTCTTCTTCTTCGTCCTTTCATTTGCCCTCCATTAGAGATGTTTGCACCAAAAAAAAAAACAAAGTTACGACTTTGTTCGTTTTTAGTATTATTGGATGGATGGTTCAGGGATGTAAGTATAATGGATGCATTATAAATGAAAGGCGTGTGTGGTGGAATCACTCTGGGTTTATTTGATTTTGATATTTGTTTCTCTATCTGAACTAAATATGTGCAGAGAAGCTATCATCTTCGATTTCATTGATGTGAAGCATAGTCATAATTTGGCGTTGCAAGACCTCTAATAGGAATTTGACACCATCTCCAATCTTACGGGCTTCGACTTCAGCGACAAAGATTCTTCTTCTTCTTCTTTGACCCATCAACCAAGCAAAGGTGAGAATCATCTTCTAAACAGTTAGACTTTGGTTGGTTTTGAGAGTTTTTAACAGCAAAAAATGTATTTTCTCTTGGAATGTAGGAACTGGTGATAAGACCAATAAAGGAAGCATAGTTGGAGCAGATCAAGGGTAAAAACAGCTAGAAAGAATATTTACAGGTTGGTACAGAGCTGTAACAAATACTTATGCTAATGGTCTAATGGATGTTGTAGTCATTAGAATATGCCATCTAGAAACAACAAAGCTAATTTCTCAAGCTTGGTGTCAAGGCTTGTGGTTGCAATGGTTTGTCTTATACTCTCAATTACACGGGTAATTCAAAATTTTTTAATTTCATAGCACAGTGGGGATTTAGATCTTCATTACTGCCTACCAGAAGCACAGAAGATACTTAATTATAGATCACTTGATCTCCAAAAATTCTACTCAAATGCTTCTGTTTTGGGTTCCGTACCGTTGCCAATCCACTAAAACATTTTCAAGACACGCTAAGGAGACTCTAGAATTGATTAAGGCCATGGGTATGCGATGGATATGGCAAACAAAAGACAGTCAAACAAACTTGAGAGAGAGAAGGCAAGCGGATTTGGTTCAAAGAAAATGAACAGTGTTTTGGAGGGTATTTTAATAAATTTATATCTAAATAGATAGACATAAGGGAAAAATAGGCATTTAAAAAAACAAGCACATTAAATCGGCTTTTTAACCAAGGAAGGGAGGTAGTTGCGTGTTTTTTAAAAAGTACAGGGGAGGTTTCTATTAAAATGATAACACAAGGGAGTTTTTATGATTGTCAGAAAATTCAGGGGAGGTTTTTGTATTTTACTCTATTCTTTAATAACTATTTCTTCTTTATAATTTTTGGAATAATTTCTTCTTTAATAACTATTGTGCCAATGCATGTTTTATGGTTGGATAGGAGAGTTGGGTTTTTTCTATCCCATAAAACATTAAAACTTCAGAATTATAATTTATAAATTATAGTTGAGCATATGATTTTTTTAATGAAGTTATAATTAACTATAATATATTTCTTCATAAAACAATTAAAATATATTAATTTAATGTATATACACCTAATTGAGATATTATATTTAGTGTTGGTGATGTATTTTTATTATTTATTAAAGTATTTATAATGTTTCTAAATATATATACATATCTTAATTTTTTTCCGATATACATATGTATCCAGTACGTATTCAATACATCTCTTAAAATTAACTTTTGGATACATTTTACGTTTCTGATAATTTTTTCGTTTATTCAGAAAAACATTTTGAAATCAGCAACATTAATGATACCAGATAGAAAATATCAAAACAGTATGCTTATATAGCACCGGTTTTTGACAAAACGCCGTAAACCGCATTGCTGGTAAAAACACCGCCTTAGGTCATTTTGAAGTTTGGTTCTTTGAGTTTTAAAAGCTGTGGATTCCGATCTGACGTACTCTTCTTAACAGAAAGTCGTCTTAGTGAACGAAGAAAAACGGAAGGAGTGGCTTTGTTTCTTGGCATCTTCTCTGTTGGCTCCATGAAATTGAAACCGTGGCTTCTTTACTCTGCAACTGCAAGCGTGCATAAAACAAGGATTCATTCCATTCTTTGTTGTCGTGGCGCGTGCCGAAACCAAACGAAATGGGTATCCACCTAAATTGAACGCATTCATTCTAGTCGGTTCAGAGAGATCGAGAAAGAGACAGAGACGGAAGCAATTCTATACCCATACCTTATTACAGTATGGGGAATACGTTCTGTGGGTTCTGTACGTGCATAGATCAGGCGAGTATAGGGGTGGTGGAGAGATGGGGACGTTTCGAGAAATTGGCTGCTCCCGGTTTCCATTTTTTCAACCCTTTTGCCGGTGAATGGGTCGCTGGAGTTCTTTCCACCAGGATCAGCTCCCTCGATGTCCGAATCGAGACCAAGACCAAGGTAAGTCGTTGGTTCCCTCTTTCTTCTTCTTCTTAGTTTTCCTTGTACCCAGTTATTGGTTTTTCTGATTTCTCTCTATATCAGAAAACAAGCACGGAATTACGGGTGGGAATTGTATCTGTACATGACCGATAGAAAAATCAATGCGCACTAGGAAATAAATCGATGAATACCAAATTACTAGTTTTGGTTTTTTTCTTTGTTTTTTTTTTTTGATAGATGAATTTTTCTTTCTTTCTTTCTTTCTTTTTGTCTATGCGTCCTTGAATCCGATAAAATTAACTTAGTTGCCGATTTTCACCAATTGGGTTCTTTCCTTGTTTATTTGTTTGGGAGTTTTGAAGTGCATGATAGTTGATATTATGGAAGGAGATTTATTTCGATGCTGTGAAATCCTAATGATGTTTTGTACACATGTGGTCTGGCATGCAATCTTGAAACCATCAAATCGGTCGACATGAACAAATCATTTTTGCTGCAAATAAGAAAATTCTGTGTCGTTCCCACACTGGAATATTTATCAGGAGAAATTGTCATTTCTTCTCGGTCCTTTCTTTTTTAAATTCTCCACCGTGTTCCTTGCCTAATTCTAATGGGCATCTGCCTATCTATTATATCATAAATATAAAACCTACCTCTTACTTTTGAGTCAAACATATGGGCAACTTAACGTGTTGTGTTTGTGGCAACCACCAACGTCCCTAATGCATGTCTGCTACGTTATTCTGTTACTAAGACGGCTAAGGCAGAATGATGAAAAATTGGTATTATGGAATTGGTGTTATTGACAATTTGTTCTCTTGATGCGTGCAAGCGTAGTTACAAAAATAAAACTGCACAAGGAATTGTGCAATTGCAATGGTAAGCTTGTGAAGCGTCCAGACATTGTAGGAGAAAACATGATTTTGGAGCTGCTACGTGTCCTAGAGATTGTTAATAACATCATGATCATGATCATGATCATCATCTAAGCCTTGCCTCAACTATATGGGATTAGCTACATGAATCCTATTTCACCATTCTGTTCTTTTCAGTGCAATATTCATTGTTAAATTATGGGCCTTCAAATCATTTCTCACTCTTCAAATCATGTCTTTTTTGGCCTGCACCTAGCTCTTTTAGAATCTTCAACTTGTGATAGATACTTCAAGAGAAGAAATGAACAATCACTCATTATATAAAACTTCTTATGGTTTCCTTATTTTCTTGATAGTTCCGCCTTATGGTATATCACAATTTATATCATAAGTTACTGTTAGAAACCTTTAGTATGTTAGAAGTTCCATGGTGCATGATTTACGCAAGTAAACCTATGTAACAACACAGAGCTCATGTGACTAAAGTGTATTATCAGCATGTTTGTCAGTTGGCTAGCATTGAACTTGGTAAAAAATGGTCAAAAAATTGAATATTGAGATTGGAATAATGTTTGAATTTTGAGATTATGCATTGAAGTACTCGTGGTACATCGATAACAACAACAGCAATGGTAATAGGCAGAACTAGGATAGTTTAATTCCTAGTGGATAAATTGAACTTTTTTTTTTTAAATTTTGTGATACAGGATAATGTCTTTGTCCAACTGCTCTGTTCAATTCAGTACCGAATAATCAGAGAAAATGCTGATGATGCATTCTATGAGTTGCAAAACCCCAAAGAACAGATCCAGGCTTATGTATTTGATGGTAAAATTTTTATGATCTAGAAACAGATTGACCCCTTAATTGGGAATATTTTTTTGACATCTAGTTTCCTTTTCTTTTTTTAATCAAATCTTTATATTTACCAAAGGAAATAAAGAAATAGGATGTTTTTTTCCTTGAATTCAGTGGTGCGAGCTCATGTTCCCAGAATGACTTTAGATGAACTTTTTGAACAAAAGGGTGACGTTGCACAAGCGGTATTGGAGGAGCTTGAAAAGGTAACGTGATGTTTCTATCAGAATATTACTTGTTGTTTAGTGCTTCCATGTTTTTGAGAATTTCCTTGTAAATATATGCATCTGTACAATCACTAATTAGTTTTATTGATGAAATTGAGAGTGTGCAATATATTCACCCTACTGCAGAAGTAAACTGCTTAATATATACAACATGCTTTAGAACCTACAACGATACAAGTTAGTTCTTTTGTTAAAGAAGCAAGGAAACTTTTGTTTTGTTATAAATGAACTATTTTTCCAGCTTTTCTTGGTTGGAAATCCTGTATGCACTCCAGTAGTGATGGGACTTCTTATGATGGCATTCCAAGGTTATTCATGATCCACCATATCCATCTTTTCATATTTAATAATAGATGATTAACTACCATCATGTTCTTAAACTAGCTGTGGAACATCAAGTTGATGAAGAAATATCTGGAAAATTAGAGTGAGAATGTATGGCCAAATCCTGGAAAGTGCATTTTAATTAGCTGCTTATAATTGGGGGTGGAGTTTGAGATGATGGTTTTAATCAGAGGATGATGTGATTAGTAAGGCATGGATTCAAGCATCAATATTAGCACGGACACCTACATGATTCCATCTAAAACTTTAGGTCATGATAGTTGGTGGCTTGAATGGGAGACATTGAAGTTAGCACCATTATGATCATCACCATAACAGGGGACCCAGCGGATAAGAAATGGTGAGGCTTGCTGCTACCCTGCCACTGCAAATCAGTAAAAAAATGAAGGAAATGTGAAACTTAAAAGGGAAAAATGTAATGGATATATGCGTTTTGATTTAGAAATATTACTTTGGATTTAGAAGTGGGTTTTTTCCTTGGTTGGTTAAGATAATTAGGATGACATAACAAAGTAGTTCAGATTTCAGAGCTAACTATATCGCTTTAGAAGGAACGCCATAAGTACTTCCTTCTTGCTTTAGAGGTGGATGTGTTTTAATCTTTTTGGTTGTTATGGATATAAATACCATGGTACAGAAAAGCAGTTCAGAGTTATTTGAGAAGTACTTATAGGAAAAGAGAGGTTGAATTAATTTTAGTTTCTGTTCACTTTATTTCTTACCATGTTCCATTACCAATCTTTAGGCTCCATTTGGTTTGTGGGATGGGGATGAGAAAAAGGGAATATTTCAAAAATATTCCTTTTTCTCTCATTTGTTTTGAGGGAAATAGAGGGATGGGATGAGAAAAATGTGGGATGCCAGATCCCAAAATTGTGGATTTGGGGTCGCACCAAAACCGTGTGACCCCGGTGGAAAAATTTGAGAAACCCTGTTACCATCGACAACAAACAAAGGAGGGAGAGAACCAGTGCCTTCCCCGTTCGAACCCAGAAGTAGAGCAGCGGCGGCGGCACCCCTTCTCAGCCACTCCCTTCCTCCCTCTCTCCTCTCTTCTTCTCTTTCTTCTTCTTCTTCTTCTTCTTCTTCTTCTTCTTCTGTCTTTTGTTTTCCACCCAAAGAAAGCACTGTTCATCGTCTTCTCGACAACGAACACAAGATATGCTAGTGGCGGTGACCAGGATCATTTACCCTCTAGTACCTCTCCGTTCATCGCCTTTGCTTTCCACCGGTGAACTACTGTCTCCGGTGGCACTGTTCGCTTTCCAAAGGTGACCAGCGGCACTGTTCATCGTCTTCGCTTTCCGCCGGTGAACTACTGTTCGTCTTCCTCTTGGTGAAACAGAGCACCCCACAGTGGCTATACTCCATCATTCCTACCGTCTCTGGCAACCGTTTCACTGGTTTTGACTAGTTTCTCCTATCATCCATTGTTTCTGATTCCCTCATTTTCCCTCTCTTTGATCGCCATTGCAGTCATGGAGCTCTCTTCTTCACCTTACATGAATCCGGCAAAGAAGTAGCTTGTCACAGTGCTTTTCCCATTATTTTCCCATATATAAAACCAAACAATGTAAGTGTAAATTTTTACACTTTCCCATCCCATCCCATCCCATCTCATCTTTTCCCATCCCACCCAAATCTTCCCACAAACCAAACGGAACCTTATGTCCCTATAACCTTGTGACTTTCCTAAAATGCAACATTTTCTGATATTATGTGTTATATATATTTTTTATTTAAGATGGCTATCAATGCAGTTTTGAGATGTCATCTATTGTCAGTTTTTGATTTTCAAATATCAATATAGATGTCCGGCCACTCTATTTTTTAGTTTATGATTTTTTCCTCTTCCATACTGAGAAACAAGGATTTTTGAATTTGAAACTGAACATTTTTCTTTGACCAGTATGTCTGAAATAGCAATATTCTATGTTGGAATCATTGTCAGGTTATGGGAGCATATGGATATAGCATAGAACACATACTAATGGTAGATATCATACCTGATGCCTCAGTGCGTAAAGCCATGAATGAGATAAATGCAGGTAACAAGTCTTCTCCTTCTTACATTTGATTCTGAAAATTGTCCTTCCAGGTGACGATTTAATGTTTCAAACATCTAATGTTAGTTCTTATGGGTTATACGTATTGTTTTCCAGACTAGGTAGCAATTTTAACTTACTCGATTTCCTAATTTTGAATATCAAACTATGTAGTATTAGTTTAAGCCTGCGTAGTGTTGACTTCACGGTTCTGGTTTGGATTTTTTCTAATGTTAGTTGCTGATTAATCTTCATGCCAGTGATAATGGTTATTATAAAGAGAACAAATGCGGTCTTAAATCCTTGACTAGAATTTAGTTTTTTTTTTTCTCCATTGAATGATAATCTAAATGTGAAGCCAAGGATTATTTTCTTTGGTATTTCCTTTTCGGTCTTTTGTGTTTCCTGATGTTTTTTATGCTGCTATATAGACTTCAAATTGGAGGATAACAAATGTTAAGGAAATGCCAAAAGCACAAACAAGTGCATAAGACTGTAGCTTGCCAATGCATTCCTAATTTCCATTTTCTTCATCATGATGTTTCAAAGTTTAGAATATTAGATATGGTCATTGATAATTTCAGAATTCATGTGCCTAGGGTCACATGGTTAATGATAACTTCAGAATTCATGATTTTACCCCATAATTCTACATGCTGCATTCTGGGCTGCTTTCTAGCATTTGAGCCACCTAAATTATTCCCTGGAACTGCCGCTACTTTGGTTACTCAGATAAAAGAGCTGTCCCAAGTGATGATCTTTAGGATCAGCCTAGTACCGCTTTTCTCAGCATATGGATTTAATTATATCCTCTTATCAAATAGAATCACCCAAGGATTTTCTGGATGGACATTGATTGGGATTGACTGATTGTCTTGTTAGTTCAAAATGGTACATTGAAAGGCATCAATTGAAACATATGTTATTAGAAGTCTGAACTAAACAAACCTTGCCATCCATCTTTATGCCACTACGAAGAATGAAGTTCAACAATCTTTCAGTTGTTTGCTCCATGCTTCAGCATCTGTTTATAGAAATTTGGCATTAAACTTGGACCATGTTCTAGACTTCTAGTAGGCTGGTCTATGCATTAGTATGAACTATTAAGTAATATTTAGTGATTCTTAGTGCATGTTGACTATATGAGATTTTGTCACTGTTATGTGTTGCAGCTCAAAGGCTCCAGCTTGCTAGTGTCTACAAAGGTGAAGCAGAAAAGGTGTTCCTAGTGAAGAAAGCTGAGGCGGAGGCAGAGGCTAAGTACCTCGGAGGGCTTGGGGTGGCCCGGCAACGACAAGCTATCACAGATGGCTTGAGAGACAACATTTTAAACTTCTCTAACAAGGTGGGAGGCACATCGGCAAAGGAGGTGATGGATCTGATCATGATCACGCAGTATTTTGACACAATCAAAGACCTAGGGAATTCATCCAAGAACACTACTGTGTTCATACCCCATGGCCCTGGTCACGTTAGAGACATTGGTGAGCAGATACGAAATGGGCTGTTGGAGGCAGCGAGTGCCAATGTTGAATGATTTTGTTCACTTTCTGGCTTCCCATTAGTTCTTAGTCCTGTTGGCTTACCACTGAAGCGTGCCTTTGTTGAGTTTCTGCATATTTGTATGCGAATAAAAGGGGAGAATAGGATTAGACAGGAACAGAATGTTTACACCAAGGATGGATCATACTGTTTTCTTAGTAAATACATAGGGGTCTAGGTTTAAGGGTGTGGAGGAGAGAAAAAGGATACTTAATTGCTTATGTAGTTATGTGCACCATCAATGACGTGTAAATATGAAATTGTCATGTGTTTATCAATCACATTTACTTATAACGTCCATGCACTCTGTCTGATGTTTGGAGACTGCACCCATCCCAACTGTAACTACAACTGCAACTGCAGACTATGCCACTATGGGCTATCCATCAAAATATGCACGGACATGGAATGGAATGCTAAATTCTTTTAACTAAAGCTGTGTTTATTATTTTTGGCAGTACAACACAATGGAGATTGGAGAGAACCCGTCCTTGGGATCGGCTTCAGTGCTTCCGTAAATTGGGAATATATATGTACTTGTATGCTTTTTTTTCATGGGGAGATATTTCCAATGCAAAGCTGCAAGAACTGTGCGAATGGTGTGACTTATGAGGACCAAATCTAATCTCCCCTCGAGAATTCAGATTAGCTGAATGTGATGGTGGTGTGGCGGGCTGTGGAACCAATGATAATGCCTCACCCCCGTCATAAAATACATGATGTCCACAACCATTCAATTGGGTTTTTTAAAAACAGCTACTGTGTTCAGCTAATTTGATCTCACTGATTCTATTGGGTTTTTTAAAAACTCAAACCAAAAGTAAATTAAATTAACCAATTAACAGTTTAACTGGATTTTCTTTTTTTTTATACCGGTTGGTTCAGTTAACTAGATTTTTTTGGTTCAAATCCCAATGCAAAAGATTGGTCATTGTTCAAATACATGCACACAAGGTGGGTGGGTTACTAGGGTATGAGGGTATTATGTTGGTTGATTAGGCCATGCTTAGGAGTGTTTAAGTTAAAAGTAAGTGCTTATTAAATAAGTGTTTAAAAACAAGTGCTTATTCAAATAAACACTAATTTGAATTTGCACCTAACTTTTTCAAGTGCTTATTTTTTAAAATAAGCACTTATTTTATATTGGGCATTTAGTGGTTTGTTTCTCTAATAAGCACTTAGTTGTGACTATTTTGTCCATTTTCTTTCAAATTTTTAAAATATACCATTTGAAAGCACTTTTAAAAAAGTATTTTTATGTAATCATTTTTACAAAAGCACTTTTATGAAAGCACTTTTATGAAAGCACTTTTAAGAAAGCACTTTTACAAAAGTACTTCTATAAACGTACTTTTACGAAAGCACTTATGAAAGCATTTTTGCAAAAGTACTTTGTGAAAGCACTTTATAAAACATGAAAGTACTTTTGTAAAAGTGCTTTCATAAAAGTGCTTTTGTAAAAGTAATTTCATAAAAGCGCTTTCATAAAAGTACTTTTGTAAAAGTGCTTTTACACGTGCTTTCATAAACGTATTTTCATAGTTCTTTTGAAAAAGTGCTTCTAAAAGTACATTCATAAAAGTGCTCTCATAAAAGTATTTTCGTAAAAGTGCTTTCTAAAAATTCTTTCATAAAAGTGCTTTCATAAAAGTACTTTCTTAAAAGTTTTTGTAAAAGTACTTTTGAAAAGTGCTTTAGTAAAAGTACTTTTGTAAAAGTGCTTTCGTAAAAGTGTTTTCATAAAAGTGCTTTCATAAAAGTGCTTTTCGTAAAAGTGCTTTTGTAAAAGTACTTTCATAAATGTTCTTTCGTAAAAGTTCTTTTGTAAAAGTACTTTCATAAAAGTTCTTTCGTAAAAGTACTTTCTTAAAAGTGCTTTCAAAAAAGTACTTTCTAAAAAGTGCTTTCATAAAAGTACTTTCTGAAATCTGAAAAGTGCTCTCGTCTTTTTTGTAAAAATGCTTTCATAAAAGTACTTTCTTAAAAGTGCATTTGTAAAAGTACTTCTTGAAAAGTGCTTTTATAAAAATAAACCCTTATTTTTAAAATAAGCACTTATTTCGAGCTTATTTCCCAAATACCAATAAGTGCTTAATGGCTCAAATAAGCACTTATTTTTAAGCACTCCCAAACATGACCTTAATCTCATTCAGTTCAATTTCTGTTCGAATTTTTAAAAAGTAAAGTAAAAATATGAAAGGATCGGTTCGGTTTCAAATATATACTCAACCAAACCGTGAGCACTCCTAACCCAAAGTAAGGAAGCGACGTCATAGTCACTTAACGACTTAAATATCGACACAATACACCCGATACGGGGTGTATTGTATCGATATCGGTTGATAACGGTACGCGCAACGAATGGAAACATATCCCGTAAGTCGTTTGTATCGTACCAATATGAATATGTATCATCATGTATCGTATTGTACCGGATGTTATGCACCGGTACGAGACGATATGCGCAAGACACTATGTCTCTACTTCATAAAAAATGCAACTGTGCTGATTCAAACCCAAGTCATTCAGACAGGCTATCTTTTGCCACTCTCTGATTCAAACTAGGCTTTATCTTGTATTATTAAATAGAATCAAATAAATTTTATTATGCTTTTGTGTCAACATAAAATTTAAACAAAAAAGACATGTTTATATTTAACAATTCTAACTATTCCAAGCAATGATATTTAAGAATAGTATTTTATAAATTAATGGAACAAATAATCTATAAAGTCCATATTTATATAAAAAGATGATTTTTAATATCAATAAAGTTATACAAATAAAATATTAATAATAAAATAATTATTTTAATATTTAAATTGCACATGATATGCATTTTAAATTTTTTATATATTTATAAAAATTATTAATTGATATTTTAATTTACATTAATAATTAATAACAACATATTTATTATTTATAAAATAATAAAAATATTGTTTACAAAATATTGAAGAATATAATATTAAATTGAATCTATCAAATTCACTAATCTACATTTATTTCAGAAAATGATTTTTTTATTTCAAATTATTTATAGAAATAAAAATATTAACAATGGAATAATTATTTTAGTAATTAAAAATTATGAATTTGTATAAGATATGTATCTTAAAAATTTTAACAAATTTGGTATACTGTAAGTTAATATTATATTTTTGTGAATTATTAATTGGTATTTTAATTTGCATTTGAAAATTTAATGTTTAGTTGATTTTTTGTTAATGTTAAAAATTAAAATAGTAAAATAAAAAAAAAAGTAATATAATAATTAAAATATAATATGCACATGTATTTTAGTGTCTTGGACTCTTGATTGATGCATTATAAATAAAATTATATGATATCTAGGCATCCCGACATATTAATTGTAATATATTTTTTCATATACACCATTAAATTATACATTTTTTATGTATTTATATAGTATTTTGGTCTTAAATTTAGTGGTATTAATGTATTTATGGAACTTGTATGTATTTCCCCTAACGTATTCATCAGTTTTCATATTTCTCGTTCGTATCCATGCACTTCCAAAGCATACTATATCCGTATCTATATCCATATCCGAATTCTCCAATACTATGTCCGATATCGATACTTTAATCCTTATGTCTACTTTAAGTGGACAGTTGGGTGATTGGTTCTATATCTAGTAGGGGGGACCCATCTTCCCTGCTTTTCATTTTTTAAAGATATACACGCTGTACACGTATACACTATAACTGCCTCTAGTAAGCTTGAAGAAGATAAATATTTTCTGTCTCTCTCTTTCTTCTCTGATACACACATAGAGACACCACATATAAAAGTAACACATTCATATGCATTGGTGTAAACAAGTACGTGGTCAATGGAAGATGTGATTGGGACTTCCAACAACCCTGCTACCAACTTAGGAGCTGATGAAACATAACTTTATATATGACCATTCAATTTTAAACTGACTCCAACGAACCCAACAACACAGTAGCTAGCCTTATATGCCTTCGCTCTCAAATCCTCGAGCGCCTACTTCAACCACGCCCACTGGAAATTTGCAGTTTTCTTAGTCGGCCTTCCCTTTACTACCACTACCACTACAACGCTACCGCGTGGTGACGAGGATTCTGCAACTCAACGTATTCAACAAATTAAGTAGAAAAAATTACCTATACTATATTGACCAAACCTTACCTTTCTTATGGCTCTGTTCTGAATGATTTAATAGGGCCAATGTTGTTTTTGGCTGGGGTGTGTTAGGGCGGTACCCTGGCCGGTCGGGCTTCCACGTGTCTCGAGATCATCCAATGTCCTTGGCCACGTCAACGAGGCAGCGTGTCATACACCGCAATATCTCTATGTCGTTGATAAGCACCTTTGCCGAGGAACGCGGGATCATCCGAACCGGTCTCTTTATCGTGGCACCCCTCTAATGACAGAAAATATATTATCCAATGCATATTTATATTGATAATAAGATGTAAAAATACATCAAATAAAATAAAAAAAAAGTAAATTTGGATTCAAGTGGACTTGTAATAAAAAAAGACATGTTTTATTTTATTAGAATTTCTCTTTGCATCCATTACAGCTAAAAATCTATTTGGTAACAAGGTAAATTTGTTAATGCAAAATTAATCCAACTTTGTAATTTTATGGACCCGTTTTACATTTTACATATTTGTATTGTTTCCAAACACAACTATAATAGGAACACCCCTCTAAGGAACGTAACTGAGTACATCACGGTACTCGATTATTTAAGGGCACTCTCATCGAGGTATCTTCTTCCCTTTGACCCTTCAACACTCTAGCCTTCCTTTTGCTTTCATGCTCTCCTTAACCCTATTCGGTCCAGACCAGTTCAACCTCAACAGCTTGGCTCGATTGCCCTCTTCATCTCTTATTGATTTAAGCGTTAAAGTGCCTTTTTCGGGAATTTCCTTGAGTTTTTTTACTCTAATTGGTTGCATGTCCTGCTCGATACATCACCTCATCCTTCCAGCTCGGCTCGTCCAAGTTCACAGGAAATTATTTATTGCTCATCCATCTCAGTTCGGACTGCATGAGATTGTGTTTTCCATTTATCAAACCGGGTGGATTGACCATGGAGGAGTGCAACTTGAGCGGATTGGATTGGGTTGAGGATCAGTCCATGGCTAACATGAGACCAAAGTTTATTAACTCAGGCCCAACCTGAGCTTAACCCAATACAATTCAAGCTAGTCTTGGGTTCGGATTGGTCAGGATTGGACGGGTTTAAAAGAATTTCTGAATATATTTTCTAATATTCATCTTTAATTGGGTTTTATGATCTAATTTATAAGGAGAATCGATTGAAAATAAATACAAATTTTCATTTACAAGTGTATATATACATATATACATGCATATATGATTTAGAAAAAAAAAGAGATTTTTATATAAACAAAATGCATGTATGTATTTTTAATTGGATAGGTTAGAATTGGGTCAGACCTAAGGTTCTAAATATCGATACGTCCGGCAGTATCGACTCTTTTTTTTTTTTTACTTTTTTTTTTCCAAAACCGGTTAGGGGGCCAGTTTAAGGTTCCTCTACCCCCTAAACCGATCAAAACCCTGATACACCCTCTGTAGGGACATATCGGGGTGCTCTTGATATGATACGTATCAGCCGATACGTATTAATACTTTGAACCTTGGTCAGACCTAGTTTAAACTGCCTAAAACCTCATGCCAAGCCCAAGTGCCCAACTTAAGTTTAGCTTAAGATCTTATTCCACAAGCCACTGTACATCAGGATCGGGAACATCTCCCTTGTCATTATTAAGGGAGATGTTCTCAATGTGCGGTGGTAGTGTCTTATTGGAAGAGATTGCTGATAGCAAACCCGGTGTCATGTTTTACAATATGACTGATGTGGAGCATTATTATTGGTTAAACGACCCCAAAACAGCATCTAGTGCAGCCAATCCAGGTTCTAACTCTGATGAATGTGGAAGTGGGATTCATCATTCACCCCAGATCTCCACTACGTACAGCGAGCTCCTATTGATCTTACCAGTAAGCTATCTGCCACCTTCTTTATTAACCCTTTTCTTTGTTCTCTCGAGCAATGACTGGAAATTAGAAAGACAACTCCCTCTATTATTAGATACAACAAATTTTATTATTAAACCTTGCACTAAGGTTGCCTTTCTTCTTTTCGACGTTTTGCCTATTTAAACAATTAACTTGTAGCTCTATGGATTACAACAATACAAGAAAATATATTGAATGAATTGTTAATGAAGCATGCATGGTTAATAATTCTTTGATAAACTTTTCATTCCACCATGATTCTTGGCTACCCGAGGAGACCTACCTACTGGGACTGAATATGTATTAGAGCATCAGAATATCCCACGTATTCAGTTCATATGGATAATTTCTTTCCGACCTGCATGAGCAGTTGGAATAGAACAGGTTGCAATTATGTGGTGATGGGTTGTCCTGATTATGTGCATTCACAAGACCATATGATCAGCCCTCTTTGTGTGGCATAAAGCATTTATAAGCTCTACCTGTCTCCACCTGCATGAAAAATGCATTAATTAATAGGTTACAACTTACTTGACATGACTGCAATTATCTGACCCTAACGATGCACAAATTTACATTCACAAGCCATTTCTGACGTGTTATAAATTCGCAGGAGGAGCTTTCCTTACATCCCATCAACTTCGAAGCTCATCAGGAGGAAACAATGGCTACAACACCAGGCCCCTTAACCAGCTGGCCATGGCAAAAGCTCGGAAGCTTCAAGGTAATCAATCCACTTTTCTCCCCTTCTGTTTGTTTTCACATTATATTTCGTAGAACTTGCATTTTCTTTTTACTTGGTTTTGCTACTTCACATTCTTGTAAACTCCCCCCCCCCTCCTCGGTTCTTCTCTACCTTCCATGCATCAAATTTGGTAGAGTTCATCAACCAACTGGACTGGGTCTCTGAAAAACTTACATCTACCTGATCAAGAACAATAGGTTTGCGATTGGTAATCAAAAACCTGCAACTCTTTCTGTTTAAGTTGTTGCAGTGTTGGGTTCTTTTCTTCTTAAAATATTTTCCAAAAGAAACATAACAGAAATTAAATCAACTACTAGCTACTTATCTAATTCGCTTGGGTGCACTGTGGTTAATTGGTAGTACGTGGTCTTGGCACCTTGGGTAGCACATAGCATATATTCGTTCGTGACAAAGGACCCAAAAGATAGAGACTTGACAAATTTGCTTATCCTCCCATATCTTCTATGGAGGTTGGTTCACCACCAAGCATGGATAACCTTGGCTCGCCATCAAACTGCTAAAAGCAAGCACAGGATACTGGACAAGGGCATCGAATTTGAACAAGTAGATAGAGAAAGAAACTGGTTAGTCCTAATTAATTAATTCATTTTTCGTTTCTTTTGGTGCTGTTAATGTTAATAGTAGTTGTTATATATTCATGTGTGTATGCATGAATGGCTGCAGGGATGACCTTATTCTCCTAAACGGTATTCTGTTCTACATGGCTAATTTGATTTTGAATGAATCAAAAAATTTACCAATGTGGAGGACAGATGGTGTGGTTCTCAGCTTTCTCCTTCATATGGGCCCAGTTGAGTTCCTCTATTATTGGCTTCACAGAGCATTGCACCACCATTTCCTTTACTCTCGCTACCATTCCCACCATCATTCGTCCATTGTTACAGAACCCATTACAGGTAATCCTCTCTCTCTCTCTCTCTCTCTCTCTCTCTCTCTCTCTCTCATTCACTCACTCACTAACATAGTTGTACTATTGTTCTTGTTTGTGGCAGCTGTTGTTCATCCATTTGCGGAACACATAGCCTATTTCGCACTCTTCTCAATCCCCATGGTTGTGACATTGTTCAATGGAACTGCTTCAATAGCATCCTTGTTACTATACATAACTTACGTTGATTTTATGAACAACTTGGGTCACTGCAATTTTGAAGTAGTTCCGAAGTGGATTTTCGACATCTTCCCTTTCGTCAAGTATCTCATGTACACTCCATCGTAAGTCTCAAAGTCCACCATCACTGTAATCTCAGACCCTTAATTAGATCCATAATTTCCTATATTGTACTTGTTATAATTAAACCTCATTAGTTAGCTAGGAGTTAGGATAGAACTAGCTATAGAACATGACGTGAAGTAATGCAACAGGTTTCACTCTCTTCACCACACGCAATTCCGGACCAATTTCTCTCTGTTCATGCCTCTGTACGACTACATGTATGGTACCATGGACATCTCTTCAGATAAACTATACGAGACTTCACTCAAGGGGAGGCCGGAGACACTGAACGTGGTTCATCTAACACATCCAACCACGCTTGAATCCCTTTACCATCTACGACCAGTTATCGCCTCATTGGCTTCTGGGCCTTACGCTCCCAAATGGTACTTATGGATGCTGAGGCCGGTCACATATTTGTCCATGCTGTTGACATGGATCTTTGGCTCCACCTTCACCATTGAGAGGAACGTCTTCGATGATGAACTCAAAATGCAGACATGGGCAATACCAAGATTTAGTTTCCATGTAAGAGACATATATATAGTTCAATTTCTATACTCTGCTTGTGATGGTATATATTAATTAATATTGGGATGTAGATGACTAAATGATCATCTTTGTGTTGCAGTACTTCTTATCATGGCACAAGGATGCCATCAATCGCTTAATTGAGAAAGCTATACTGGACGCCGAGCAAAGAGGGGTTAAGGTGTTGAGCTTAGGTCTTCTAAATCAGGTATATTTATCAGCTCATCATAAGTCTCAGTTGGGGAGGAGTAAAAAACACAAATATGTAGAGTGCAAAACCTTGTATTTTGTATGCATTTGCACTATATATATTTGTATTTGTACTCTATCCAAACTGAGCCCAAATTGCACATTTAACTATTTTTTTCTTAGTTTAGAAGGATGCAAATTATGCTTTCTTCCTTATACAGTAGAGTTAAGAAATCAAATAAGTTTCATATCAGCTGCTCAAAAAAGGTCTGATTATTGAATCAAAAAGAAAAAAAAAAGTGTCAATATTAACCCTCCACTATCTACTGTAACCTGTCAAATTGACAAATACTCTACCAAGTCTAGTTCTTGACCTCCACCCAAACGGTTAAAAGTGATATAAATTAGGTTGTTGGTGTTTATTAGCACTTCATGGTATGTTGGTACAAGCACAAGGTAGTTGGAATTCATTGATGAGAGCAAGTGTAGTTGGACGTCATGTTCAGAATAGTTTGGGTGAGTAGTATTTTTAGCAAAGAGTTAGGGTGAGTAGTACATCCTTAGTTGTGGTCCCTATCAAGGTTATGTTTGGTTTGAAGGAAAAGGAAGGGAAAGTTAGGAAAACCTTTACAAAGCATTATTTTAATTATGCAAGGCAACTGCAAATTGGAACCACTCATCCGTTCTGATAATGAGTCATTTTCACTGCTTGGGTCCGGATCTTTGATAGAATAGAGTCCCAAATTTTGTGAGGGTGACCTGGAAATTAAGGCAACCATGGCTTCGCTCTAGCATTTTTCTTATATTTTCTTGAATAATAGAGGGATTTTGATTAGCTGTTGTAACCATGATAAGGCCAATTGGCTATATTGTTTATTGTAAATGGGAGATTATAGGTTTTGAGTCTTTCTATAAATTATGGTAATTAAAATGGCCTGGAATCTGGACAGGTTATTGAAAGTTGAAAACTGATTCCCAGATAGTTTTCAATGGTTCACTTGGGTCATGTTGGGGAGATTTTTCAAATTTTTTTTCAGGCTGAAATGTTAAATAATTTGTTTTGATTTATATGGTAAGGTAAAGAAATGGAAAACAATTCCATTGTAGAAGGAATGAAAATATAGCTCAAACATTTCTGCCTGAAAAATTCGTTTTAGGGGTTCTCTTAATAATCAGTTAACAAATACTGACATCTTATTTAACGCCAATGTTGTGGTTATCAGGGAGAAGAACTGAACAAAAACGGAGAACTTTATCTCCAGAAGCACCCAAACCTCAAAGTTAGAATTGTAGATGGTAGTGGATTGGCCGTTGGTGTTGTACTTAATAGCATTCCCCAAGGAACAAAACAAGTGCTTCTGAGAGGAAGGACTACCAAGACTGCAATCGCCATTTCCAGAGTTTTATGCCAAAGAGGGATCCAGGTACACTAATTAATCACTATAAATAATGTTAATTTCTTTTTCTCTCATATTATAAGCATTTCGTCATTCCTAATCGCAAACCACTGAAAATTGTAAGCTATATATTTTGCACATTTGAAGGCGAAAACCTGTTTTCTACATTAAAATATTCTGTATTATTTCTTCATAATATTATTGCTTCAAGTCCTCAACAAACTTGATCAAATTTTGGTGTTATAAAATGATGAATTGGTTGTCTCTAACATTGCTGAACTGGAACAGGTAGCTATGATAGACAAGAATCAATTTGATAGGCTCAAATTAAGACTGCCTACAGAGCTATGGAGTAATTTGTTCCTCTCCACTAACTACAATTACAAGGTAAGGGAGGAAATATCTTTTTCATTGAGAAGAAGTTACAGAATAAAAATAAAAATTATTTTTTATTGGGGGTATTATTTCTTCAGCCTATCTGCCCAAAACACATCTAGTCTTTCTCCTGGTTCAGGTTTTAACTAAGCCAAAACCGGGAGGGTGCTGACTGTACAATCAGCTAACCCAATCAACAATCGAGTAAGGTCTGGACTAAGTTGTCTTTTCCTTGATTCAACCTAAATCATCATCATTCTAATTAATTACCTTATTGAAGTAAAGTTGTGGGAAATGGGATATTCCCTGCAGAAAATTCATCACCATGGGCTTATTCATGTTTCATCTGATTTCTGCCCCACAGACCTGGCCTTAAAAGTTAAACACCATTACTCAGTATTCACCTCTATCTTGACCCACATGTCTATCCATAAAGAAAGCAAAGGAATCTAACAAAGTCACCTGAGATACTGTAGGTATGGTTGGTGGGAGAGGGAGCTCTGAAGGACGAAGAACAGAGACAGTTACCAGAAGGGACCCATTTCATTCCATTCTCTCAGTTTCCTCCAAAGAGAGTACGCAGCGACTGTATTTACTACACTACACCAGCCCTGAGGATCCCTAAGGCTCTTGAGAACGTTCACTCATGTGAGGTTAGTCCCTCCAACTTTGGGGCATTTATTAATTAGTCTCAAGGAACTTTTAAACCTAATTAAGGGCTGTTAGGTGAGGTTCCTAAATAGGCTTTTATTCTCTACCAAAGCCCACCCATATATAATGGGGTGATTAGATGGAACGGCTAGACCATTTGATCAAACAGGCTCTGATGCCATCTTAACGAATCATTCAATCTAAAAGCTTAAGCTGTTAGGGTCCTTAAATAGGTTTTTATTCTCTAACAATTAGTCTAAAAATACTTCAATCCGTCTCTATAAAAGTATGAGACTAAAGTTTCTTATATGTTTCACAACAGAATTGGCTGCCAAGACGGGTGATGAGTGCATGGCGTGTGGCAGGAATAGTCCATGCCCTGGAAGGATGGGATGAACATGAGTGTGGAGACACAGTACTTGACGTAGACAAAGTATGGACTGCAAGTCTTCGCCACGGATTCCTTCCTGTAGCTCGCGCTTGATCCATTGAATTGCACCCACTCGAAGAGTTGTTGATGATAGTATTGATATTTGTCTTCTCTGTGTGTTAAAAAAAGGATGGCTGTGATATGTGAAAATTTTCCTTTGTTTGTAGAGAACGTTCCCAAACTGGGAAAGCTGAAAGCATAAAAGCAGATCTCCACCTAGTTAACCTAGTTATTGAATAATATTAATGAATGGATTTTGACTTGTTGGATATACTGTAGAAGTATAATTTTTTAGGGTTATTAATAATATATATATAATTCTATTATATTTCTTTTTTCAGCCTTTATTTATATTTTTCTCCCTTCTCTTTTCTTTTTTATTTTCATTCTTCTTCTTTTAGTCGTCCACCCTTTACACTTTAGCTTGTGAGTATCGTTTCGAGTCGGATTCGAGTGTGAAAATCAAAACTTGATCAAGCTTGAACAAGTTTCGAGCTCCGAGTTTTTGAATCAAATTCAAACTTGAATCACCCAAAACTCGACTCGCGACTCAGCTCGATTACACTCCTAGTTCGGATGGGCTATGAAACCAATCGTATTGTCCGCATGGGAGCCTTTTGTTGGTAGCATACCCCTACCCTTTCGATTAATACATTGTAATTTGTAACATGTGACCTGATAACCGGGTTAAGCGAGTCATTAGTGGTGTACATTGAAGCAAGTTTTTATGTAGAGGTCTCACAAGTGCAGGGGCGGGGCAAGAAAAATTTTATGAGGGGATCAAAATCTAAGGTGGATTGGGGGGAAGGGGGGAGCAAATATGGATGGTTACGGGGTCAACCCATTCGAGTGGGGAATGGGGGAGGGGGAAATTTACATGAAATATTAGGGATTTTTTAGCCATAGGGGGGGCCATGGCTCCCCTAGGTCCCCCCTCTGGCTCCTCCCTTCACAAGTGGTCTATCCAAACTAGATCGCAAGCCTAGATCGACCATTGGGCCTATTCTTGAGCTCGAGCTTGGTCCTTGTATAAAACTTGAAACCCGATTTAGTAAGTTTGAAGCCCAAACAAAATTTATTATATTTTATTAATCAACTTCTATTATAAATTACTACTAGAAATTTAATCCTTGCCATTTTCGAAACTATCAATTAGAAATTCTACTTTTCCTAAAAAAATCTTCTCAAAATTTCTCTCTCTCTCTCTCTCTCTTTCACTCACATACACACACACATTCCAATAACCTAAATAATCTAATATCCTAAAATTTCTCCTAAACAACCTCCTCCACGAATTGGCTTCTAACAGGGCAAATCTGTACCCACACCATTCTAACAGTCTTTTGCAACTTTGCATTGGGAATATCTCCCCATGAAATAAAGCACACAAGTACGGAGATATTCTCAGTACAAGGCAATAAAAGTTGCCCGAATGGTCTTTTCCCTGACTGAAGCCGAACTCCTCCTCCACTATCTTAGGCTTTCTCCTAAGTTATCTCTGATTTAGTAGAGAGTTTCACTCCTAAATTATCTCTAATTCTTATTTATCTTCTCCCCCACTTTTTATCCACATCTCTCTAAAGAAAGTTTGAATTAAAAAATTTAAGAATTATTTAAATATTTTAACAAAATTATATAACAACTTTAAAATATTTATTAACAAGACCAAAAATAATTATAATCGATTTAATAATATTCATATCATTAATAATTATATATTTTTACAAAATTCATCATGAAATTATACAAAAAATATAAATTATGATTTTCTAGATTATTCAAGTTGTGAGCAAGGTAGCTAGGTAGAGGTGTAAATCGGGCCGTGCTGGGCCGACACAGCATGGACGTGGGCCTATGCAAAGTGTGGGCCATGCTGTGCTAGTTTGCGGGTCGTGCTTCCCTTTCCTAGGATACTTTGGGTCAGCTTGGCACGACCCATAGCCTGAGCCCACGTAAGCCCGTGTTGTGTCGTGTCGTATCGGTTCTTAGAAATGGCTGATACATACTTTTTTTTTTAGTTTTTTTTTCAAAGTTTAGTTTTTTGGGAAGTTTTTATTAAAAAAATAGGGGGGTCCGAAACACCTAGAAATAGGCGTTTCAGAAAAGTAATGAAAATTTAACATAAATTAAAAAATAGACAAAAAAAAGATCTTAAAATTATATTTTTATGAATTTTGATGTATACAATTATTTATATATGCAATAATAAAATGAAATAATATAATAACATTGAAAATAAAATTATATATATATTAATATATTATATAATTATTATATAAAATAAAATATAATATAATATACATATTATAATATAATATAAATATATATATGGATCGTAGCGGTATGGCCCATACAATCGTGCCGTGCTTGACATGGTCCACATTTTGTCGTGCTGGGCCGCAGGCGGCATGGCCCATTTTACAGCTCTATAGCTAGGTATAACAATTAATTAAGGCAGTGTTTGGCATCGATGCTGTTTTTTGAGAAAACGCCACATAGGTGCTACATTAGAAAAAGTAGTGCTTTAGAAAATGGCCTCTTGTTTGGTACTGTTTTTCCAGAAGAAACATTGCTCTAGATCACACCTTGGAAATCGGAAAAGTGGTATGAAGAAATGTCAAATACAATGTTTTATCTATGATAAATTAGTTATACGCGACCTGCTGTTTCAATCAAATTCAAGTAGAGGTCTTATTTGACTGAAACCATAAGGTAGGTGTGAGTAATTTACTCTTGAACCTAAATGGGTGCACCTAGAAAAATAAATAGGCAGGTTCAAGTGGATTGGATTGGGTTAGTCCCATATACATGCTATGAATATGAACCAACCTAAGTTTAACCTGACCCAACCTAAGTTTTTGCATGGGCTGGGCTTAGGTTGAGGTACAAGTGTCAATGGATTAGTTTTGGGTTGGATCCGTTTAAATCAAAATCAATTTAGACAGATTGGACGGATTAATAAACATATTGAATTGGACCAGTCCAAACTTAATGCTTCAAAGTATTTATTAGATTCGATTGGACCTGGTCCATCCATAATGGATTTATATTGGATTGGGTTGGATTGAACCAATATCTAATCCACTGATGGAAGATAAGAATACATGTGTCAATGGACCAAGTTTAGGTAGGGGTGCTCATAAAAAACCGAAAAATAGAACTGGACCAAGCAAACCAAATAAAAAATGCGGTTAACTAAACCAATCAGTTCGATTTTGGTTCAGTATCTTTAAAAAACTGAAGGATCAGTTCGGGTTTCAGTTAATCTAGAAAAAAACCGAAGGTTAACCGAACCGACCGATATATGTATTTATATGTATATTATATATATTTATAGTAGTTACAATATAATATACATATTTATAATATATTATATGTCATTTGTTATTCATAATATAATATATTATATATTTATTTATAATATATGTTATAAATATAAAAAACCGAAAAACCAAAAAATCGAACTAATCAAAAATCGAAACTAGTCAACTGGTTAACTGGTGGTATCGATTCGGTTTTGGTTTGAAGATATAGAAAAACCGATAAGACTGGTTTTGGTTTCTAAAAAATGCTCATGGTTTAATTAATCAAAACCATGAGCATCTCTAGGTTTAGATTGGAATCGATCTAAATCAAAACCAAATTAAACAGATTAGACACATTGAATTAGACTTGTCTCATTGGATTGAATTGAACCTGGTTCATCTGTAATGGTCTCATATTAGACGAGATTGAATTGGACCAAACCTGGTCCAATTGACACCCCTTTGAAGGCTTGGGTAATGATAGTAGTCCAAGCCTAACTCAATCTAATCTCACCCAACCTATAATATATTTTTGTTCCATATATATGTTGAATTATGTTATGCTGTTATATATTCATCTTGTACATATTTATATGATTATATTTAACAATTCCTGAAAAGTGAAAACTATTCAATATTGTGCATTTCTCAATACAAGCATTCCTCATTGAATAAATCAAAATGAAAGAAAAGAAAAGAAAAAAACATAAATGCTTGTTTTTTGAACAAATTAATTGTCTGACATCTGGATAAAGTTGTGAGATGGATGGGTGATGCATGAGTTAATATTTATATTTCTCCGGTGGGAATCAACAACTAGCGAGGGAAGCTTGTGATAGATAAGCAAAAAGCAATTGTGATAGATAAGCAAAAAGCTTTGATTGCTGGACCTTACACTAGGGCTATTAAACAGCTTTGATGATAGAGATAGGCTTTTGGAGTCCACTTGACATACTTTATCAATAACTTCACCAGGATTTTAAAGTGTCCATTTGGGTGGGCTGAAGCCAGCGGCCAGCGGCTTCTGGGTTTTTCTAGGTGGATAGTCTTTTTAAGTTATGTTTGGTGAAAAATCCTGAGAGTCCAAATTAACTGTCAGTTAAAAATTTTTGTATTCTCTCTCTCCTTAAGGCTTGAAGTTTAATTGTGATGAAAATAAAAAAGCCCTTCACTTGCACATTTTGAAGGGAGTTCAAATCTCTTCCTTATTCCAATCTCACATCACGTCCCAATTGTATATCGAAAATATCTCTCATATTTGTATATTATTATTCATAAGAAATATTAATAATATATGAATAATTTGTGCTGTAAAGTTGGTGTGAGGAACAGATCTGAACTCTTTTGAAGGCTTGAGCTTAATTATGGAAGAGGACCCAAAGAGTGGAATCGGAAGTTTATAAATCTGAACTAATTAATCAAAAGTTGAGTTGTTTTTGGTAATGTAAATTTTTAGTGGATTAGTTGGTTCTAGAACATGCCACACCTATTGGACAATTTGTTTAGGGGGTGGGGTTTTGTTTAGGGGTGGGGTATTGTTGTAGCAAGAAGGGGTGTCTTGAATCCAGAAGAAAAAATTCAAAGAAAATTGTTTTTCTGTTCAGTAAGGATATGCCACCTTAAGGGAAGAAAAAAAGGGTTTTGCACTAATCAAAATTCTTTTTCATGATCCCTAAATTTTTCTTTTAAGATCCCTAAATTTACTTAGGTAAAAAATGGCCACCTTGAAATTTTATTAACCATATCAAGATACAAAATCATTGGATTCTAATTAAAGATTTATGCCCCAAACTGTATAAGTAATAATTCCCCAGTCAGTCATAAAACATGGCCCACAAGCATCCGGTCTCACCCACTCAGGAAAAAAAAAAAAGCTAATACAAATCTAAGTTAGGCCCTTGAAAGTCTTAGCTAGGCTGCATTTGGCATTCTAGGATTTATTTTCTTTTTACGGTTAAAAGTTCAA